TATCCCGATCCTTCTCCGAATTGGCAATACCTCCCAACTTTGTGTCATCTGCAAACTTTATCAGACCACTCCTACATTTGGTTCCGAGGTCAGTAATAAATAGATTAAATAAAATGGGACCCAAAACCGAACCTTGAGGAACTCCACTGGTGACCTCCCTCCAACCTGACAGTATGACCCGCTGCAGTCTCCCCTTTAACCAGTTCCTTATCCACCTCTGGATTTTCATATCGATCCCCATCTTTTCCAATTTAACCAATAATTCCTCGTGCGGTACCGTATCAAACGCTTTACTGCCAAAGATCTGCACCAAGGTGATCTTAGGCAGGAAGCTATCCAGTGCGGGGAACGCAGGGACCAGTGCTTCAATTCCGGCGATCCATGCCTCGTGGAAGGAGAACATGGCGCTGGGGTCCTGGGCCTTCTAGTTGGTGACCAAGGTCCTAGGCCATGGGGATGAATGCTTGCCATCCAGGGACTGATGGTTCTCCCTTGCCCTTTGGGGAGGTCCCATGACTGGCTTGCCCTTGGGCAGCAGGTCCGTAGCCACTTCCGGTGCCTGGTGCAACGTCTGCAGTACCGGTAGGCCCACCAGGTCTTTGGCAGCTTGGGCCGTCCCAGGCAACAAGATCCCCATAGAAGCTGGGATCCCCTACTGCTCCCAGGAGTCGGAGTCAGATCCTTGGCTGGGCTAGGGGGTCAGAGCATAGCGGCCACTTGCTCCGGGGCGGGCAAGTGGCCTGAACTAGGTCCTTTGCCCAGAGCCTCCTTCCCCTCCTTGGACGGTGCTGGGGAGCCCTTTTTCTTCAGTTGCTTCTTGGGCACCAGTGAGGGGGGAACGGTGCTGGGAGGATCCCGGTGCCAGTGGGGCACTCTGCACCAATGCCGAGGTGCTAGGAGCAGAATCTGGTCAGGAGGGCTCCGACACCTGGTTCAGCGCGACCTCCATCAGGAGGGCTCTCAAACAGATGTCCCTCAGCTTTTGGGTTCTGGGACGAAAGTTTTTGCAAATCCTGCACTTATCCTTTACATGGGATTCCCCCAAGCACTTCAAACAGCTGCTGTTGGAGTCAGTGATAGGCATCAGCCTGTTGCATGACGAATACAGCTTAAAGCCCGGGGAACGGGGCATGCCCCGCTCCAGGGTGAAGTCTCAGACGGGACTCTAACCGCTAAACTAACACCTAACACTTATTTTAAATGCTAAGTACCTACAAACTATATAGAAAGGGAATAACAATGGGCTGTTAAGAACCGCTTACGCTCTTGCTATGCAAGACAAGGTGCTCTGACCAACCACCATGGGCAGTAAGAACAAACTGAGAGGGCGTAGGGCTGATGGCACATAATATTCCAACGTATTAGCGCGGCACTCAAGGGAGCGCCACAGCCAACCCTACGGATCCTGCTAAGGCAAAAATCTCCGATGACTATGCACATGTGCTTGCACAAACCTAGAATGGAATTGACATAAGAAAGCACTCGAAGAACAACATTCTTTGCTAGCCATTCAATATCAGCGCAACACACAGCCCCAGGGCTTTCAATGTGTCCCAACCACAAGCTCAACAAAGTGCAGTCCTTAAACTTCCATTTATCCTACAAAACAGGAGTGTCTTTTAACTCCCCTCCCCCAGCAAAATGATATTACGAGCTGGGGAAATCTTGTTATGGGTCAAGTTACAACCTCTCTGGGATTGATGGGTGCGCCCCGCACAGCAGCGGCTCCACGCAGCAGCAGCTGCTCCAAGATTTAGTCAGAGGTATTTATAGTATAAGTCATGGACAGGCCATAGGCAGTGAATTTTTGTTTATTTCCCTTGATCTGTCCGTGACTTTTACTAAAAATACCTGAGACTGAATTGCAGCCTTATTTATGATCCTGAAAGAAACCTGAGGAGAGGTTTTGGGGTAAGAAGTGCAGGATGAAAAGAGTGTTCTTGGTGCTGTGAACAAAAGAAGCTGTTTCCTGCTATTTTATTCCTTCTGTGTTCAGTGACACGGGACTTCGTACGTTTTTTGTAAATAAGCAAAACTGCATCAAAGAAATACCTATGATCAATTTCTTCCCTTAACTAGAATAACTTACTAGATTCTGAATGTCTGGCTAAATGCTTGGGTCAAAAAGGGATAACAATAACAAAACAAGAACTCAGTGTTACTCAGTGGAATTCAGCTTGCAGGGCAGAAAATTTCCTACATAAAGGCAAAGAATTAAAATCTGGGAGCGAAATTCTGCTCTGTTTCACTTCTGAAAATTCAGAGTAACTACACTGGTGTAACCGAAGAATTTGCCATGAGACATTAAGCAAGTATAACTTTCTGTAGTACAGAGTGGGGTTTAGATCATGATAAATGGGAAATTATCAAGAGAAAATACTGTACACGGTTGCTTCCGACAATGTGCATGTTAAAGGGAAGCTCCAATGAAAACTAGAAGACATTCTGATCACTGCACCTAGTAACAAAGGGGCCTGCCTGATCCAATTCCCATTAAATTACAGGGAGCTTTTGACTTTCCACAAGTATTGGAACAGGACTGTGAGGTATATTCTATTTCTTATGAAACAGTTATTGGACACCAAAGGGTATACCATTACAAGGACCAGTGGAGTGATCCATCAAATTTTATACCTCCATGAAACTGAAAATATGTATATTAAGAGTACAGGAAAATAGACAGAAAGGAATTATTATAATAAACTTTCTTACCAGAATACATTTGACTGTTAGAACTGCACTGGGATCCTTGTGGTTAGCTGCCCAATGAAGTGGGATTTTGCCTTCAATATCAGGGATTCCAATATTAGAATCGTGTTTTATAAGAAGTTTCACATGCTCTGGGTTATTGTAGTAGGCACTCCAGTGCAGAGCAGTTTGCTAGAACACAACATTCACAAATTTTACAAACACATGAATTTTAAAAATGAAATTAAATGGATACAGTTTCAAAATTAGTTTTGTGAAAAAAATACTTGGAACTTATAAAAAGATATCTTCATAGATACTTGGATCTTCCAAGAATCTATGAAGATATCTTTTTATAACTTCTAAGTAACCTTTCTTAATGATCTCTAATCAGGTTATATTTTTAAAAGTTTAGAGATTTACACTATTTACACTGCTGTCACAACATAAACATTAATGTATCTCAGACCTATAATTAAAGCTAGGATTTTGTCATGGATATTTTTTAGTAAAAGTCAGAGACAGATCACAGGCAATAAAGCAAAATTCACAGAAGCCCATGACCTGTCCGTGACTTTTACTAAAAACATCTGTGACAAAACGGGGAGCTGCAGAGTCCCCACACTGCGCACAGCATATCAGCAGCTGCAGGGGCCCCAGCTTGGAGCTCCGGGGTCCCCCGCTACCCGTGGGGGCTTGGAGCTGTGGTCTCCCCACCGCCTGCAGCGGCCAGGAGCTGCAGAGTACTCCCACCGCTCTGAGCCACCATAAGTGACGGGGAACTCTGCAGCTCCCAGCTGACAAAGGCTGAAGTCACGGATTCATTGCTCTGTAGAACTCTGGGCTTGGGCTGGATCCCCGGGTGTAGGGCCCTGCAAGGTGGGATGGTCCCAGAGCTTGGTCTCCAGCCTGAGCCCAGAATTCTACACAGCAATGAAACAACCCCGCAGCCTGAGCCCTGCGAGCCCAAGTTAGCTGGCACGGGCCAGACGCGGATGTCTAATTGCTGTGTAGGCAGACCCTTAGTTTCAGTATGAAGTTCTGGACATTGGACAAGAGTTTTCATATCATGTGATTGTGACGGTGCCACCCATAAGGCTTTATGAAATGTGCTTATGTATATATATATATATATATATATATATATATATAAC